AGCTCTTACCAGTGTCCGGTCAGATTCAGAAAGACTGGCCCTCCAACTACTCTCTAGGCATCTTTTCCGGCGCTTCAACTCCCTCAGCTCCTCAGTGAACCAAGGAACTAAATGAGATCGGCGCCGGGTCAGAGGCCGCAAAGGCACGACCCGATCCAGAGCTCCAGCGGCCGCCCTATCCCAGGCGGCCACTAGGTCTCCAGTCGAGGCGTGTGCCAGAGCCTCAGGGAATGGCTCAAGCTCCATCTGGAACCTATCCGGTTCCATCAGGCGCCTGGGGCGGAACCATCTTACCGGCTCCGCCTCCCTGCGGCGGGGTGTAGCGGTTCGAAGGTCGAGACGAAGGAGAGAGTGATCAGACCATGACAAGGGCTCGGTGACTATCCCCTATCTCGAGATCACTCAACCACTTTCCAGAGACAAAAACCAGATCCAGCGTGTTTCCCCCCGTGTGGGTAGGGCCATGAATTAACTGGGTCAGGTCCATGGCTGTCATGGAAGCCATGAACTCCCGAGCCACCTCAGATGCCTCACCAACGGACGGCAAGTTGAAATCCCCCATGACCATATGCCTAGGGGTCTCAACCGCCACCGTGGCGATGACACTGAGTAGCTCGGGCAGGGCTGCTGCCACATGGCAGGAAGCCAGGTATGTGATCAGCAAACCCATCTGAACCCCGTGGCCCCATTTCACAAGGAGGGATTCACAGCCGGCCGTCTGAGGAACAGTGGCCTCCCTCGGTCTCAGACCTTCGTTAATAATAACCGCTACCCCCCCGCCCCTACCCTGCAACCTCGGCTGATGGAATGCGCGGAAACCTGGTGGGCACATTTCAACAAGAGGGACCCCCCCTCTTGGCCCAACCAGGTTTCCGTAATACCTGTCAGGTCCGCTCCCCCCTCCTGAACAAGATCACAAATGAGGGGGGCTTTATTTACTACAGACCTGGCATTGCATAACATCAGACGGAGGCCAGGGCCCTGAGGATCTGCGCCACCTGGAAAACGAGTGGAGCTTTGGGGGCCGGAGCGCGCCACCGCTCGAAGACAGCGGGCGCGCGCTCCCCTAACATGATATGGCCCCCTGCTCCCGCCATATCTACCCCTCCCACCCACGGTACTGATGGTAAAAACCTTATCTGGATGAACTTTATCCCCCCTCTTGACCCCGGCCCCCCCACCCCCAATGCCGTGCTCCACAGCCTTACCTGGCCCTCCCCTTAGTGGGTTATCCCCCATACCCACGGCCTTACTTCTGATCCAACCCTCCCCCCCCGGAACCCCTTAAGACATTTGCTAAAACTTTATCTAAAAAACCCCTCAACCCCCTCTTCGTGACATGCCACCTCTCTGGGTTCCAAAGCCCTTCATCGAGGTAGGCCTTCGATAACATGGAAGGCCAGGCTTGCGAGAGGGGGGAGTCTCGCAAGGCAAAGAGCTCAGCCGGTGAATACATTCCTGCAAGTTCGCTTGGGGAAATAGAGTCAGGCTAAGGATTCAATGATGGTACATTTAAAAGTCCAGGAGAGACAGTTCACCATTTTGGCGCGGATCAGAACCGGGGCTCCACTGTCCTCTCACGGCAGTGGAGAGGAGTCTCAAGCCGATGCCCTGAAAAGCAATGACCAAGCCACCCTCTCACGGCGGCTGGTATCGACAGGTCTAATTCAGTGGCAATAACAGCAAGGTGACTCCCTCGGTGACCACACCCAGGCTTAAGCCTCTCCTCACAGCAAGGCATTGTAAATGTGACTGGGACTGATGATATAGCCGGAAACCGGGGGTCAATTATAGTCAGGTCAGGTCAGGGGTCCAATAAGTCCAATGCAGTCCAGTGCTGGTGCAGATAAGGTCCAGATCAAATGGCCACGGCCCCGCCCACGCCCATAACTAGGCCACGGCGGGGAGGGGAAAATGGATACAGTCCAGGGGGAGGCAGGCCAGTCGCCCAACTTTGCCAAACCCCCAGTCTCCATAGGGTCTTCTAATCCCCTTTAAGCCCCGGTCTTCAGGGGTCTTCAGAAGTCAGCAACCAGTTGGACTGCATTCTTCCCTTCCTCCCTCCGCAGTAAATAACCGACCCTGGTAAAAAAGTCTAAAGTCGGTCTGAAGTCAATCTGAAAACAGCCAGGATAGCGCCGTTCCACCCAGCACCGCCCCAGCGGCCGTCGTTTCATCCCCAGCTGCCGCAGCCGCCGCTCCAACCGTCGCAGCCGCTGCTGACAGCTGGGAACCATATCGGGGTGCTTTTCTGGGGGGGGGGGACGCTCCAACGAGCTGCTGTCTCCCCACACCCCTCCCCGCTCCGGCCAACACTGGGAGGGCGCCGCTGGGGGGGGCGCCGCTGGGGGGGGATGCCAAGGCAACCCGGCGCCGCCCCGACCTTGCTCCAGCCTCCCGTTCACTGCCGCCATAGCCTCGCGGCGTTTTTCGGCTCCAGCCGCCCACGCCGATCATCCAGGGGAGCTCAAAAGCTCGCGACAGGCCGCCCACACATTCCTCTTGCTGGGCGGGGGCCAACAGCTGATATTCGGCCCCCCGAAAGTCCTCAGTAAGCCCTACTTCTACTCCGAGGCATCAGAGCTTCACCAACGAGCCGCCATCTTCGCACATGCTCAGAAGCAATTGAGGCCTGAATGTTTGCAAACGGATGGAAGGCTTTGGTCCTTTAGGCCTTCCCTCCATTTGCCATTTCCTTGCCGAAGCCTGTAGGGAGATTGTGTTCCTGTAGGCTTTGGCAGCTCTTTGGAAAAAGCTTTTGTTGGCACGAGCAGAGCTTGGGAGAAGCGAGTGCGTCCCTCCGAAGCTCTGTTCCTATCGGCAAAGCCTCTTTTATAAAGGGCTGCTGAAGCAATCCTCAAACGCTTTGGTGACAAGAAAGGAGGCCCAGAGGGCTGCGCATGGCCTCTGGGCCTCCTTTCTCTTCGGTGATTTATTTGATGAGGCCTTCAGTGACTAAAAAGGAGACCAGGAAGGCCGCACGCGGCCTTTTGGGCCTCCTTTCTCGCTGGCAATCCGCTTGATAAGGGTCAGTTAATGAAAAAGGAGGCCGGGAAGGCTGTGCACAGTCTTCCGGACCTCATTTCTTGCTGGTGATCTGCTTGTTGCCGTTGGTGACGAAAAAGGAGGCATGGCTTCCTTTCTCACCAGCAATCCACTTGACGAGACCTCCTTCCTGGCCTCCTTTTTTGTCACCAGAGGCCTCGTCAAGCCCTTTGCTGATGAGAAAGAGGAGAGGAGGCAAAGAAACAGGCTGGAGAGGAGACACATCTTCATAAAGTAAGTCACCCTCTTGGCTGAAATGGCAAAATTGACTATTTTGATTAAAGAAAAGAATATAAGTACTTTTGTTTCCATATGGAGACTGCTTCTGAACTTTGTGCTTGAAGTGGAAAAGAATGAAACTTTGATTTTGGGTTTTACTGAGTAGATTGATAGAACTTTATAGAAATGGCTTATTCATATTATGAAAAAACAAAAAGTTGTGATTTAATGCTAATGCCTCATTTTACTGCAACAGAGAGAGTTGGAAGTCAATGCTTCTTTTTTCTTTTTTTTTCTTATCCTTCCTCACTTCTCTCCCCCCCCCATCTTCCTCCCCACTGCTTTTCTATTTACTTTTGCATTTTGTATCTTATATTATTTTATAACTCATTAAAAATGTTACTAGAAAAAATTAAGTCACTCGGCGCAGCAGGATGGGGAAACAATTGTGGGGACCCTAGGGGAGGGAGAATGAGATATCTGTGGGTCAGGGGAGGCCTTGAGTGGTCTGAAGCAAGTGGCCTGTTCCATCACTAGTCCTTCCCCACCCTGAGATACCTCAGGTGCACTTAAAAGCCACACATTCAATTATCGAATACGTGGGCAAAAGGAGGGAGTGATCGCATTCCCTCCTTTTGTCGGGAAGGTACGACATTCACTCGCATGAATCCTCAGGTTACGAATGGAATGGGCAGGCTCCATTCCATTTGTAACTCGACTACCTGTATTCTTTCTTGTCCTGCCCTCGGATGCTTTGAAGAACAGATCGACCCTCTCCTCTGTGGCAGCCCCTCAACTATTGGAAGACTGCTATCAAGTCACCTCTATATCCTTCTCTTCATTAGACTAGACATATCCAACTCTTGAAACCATTCATTTTATATTTTATCCTCCAGTCTCCTTAATCGTTTTTGTTGCTCTTTCTTGCACTCTTTCTAGATTCTCAACATCTTTTTTGTATTGTGATGATCAAACCTGGATGCAGTATTCCAAGTGTGGTCTTACCATTGCAATATAAAGCTATATTAACACTTCATGTAATTTTGATACTATCCCACTGTTGATGTAGCCTAGGACTGCACTGGCCTTTTTGGCAGTTGTACCACACTAATGGTTCATATTTAAGTGATTGTCCACTAGGGCTGCTAGATCCCTCTCACAATTACTCTGTTGAACCAGGTACCACCCATACAATTTAGAATATTAAGATACATGAATGGGTTTTGGCTTTAAAAAAAGATGGTGATTAGTTCAAGAAAAAGCTACCTTAAAGTAAATTGGGGTTTGAATATATACTAACTAAAATCAATCTTCAAATATCCTTTGAGTTTGAATGCTCATTGCACTTATAGGTTTGTATGACTTGTATCTCTTTCTGAGTCCTTGAATGTTTAACCTCATATTGTGATATGAGAACAGAGGTAGGGTGAGGGGCTTATTTCTTTTTTGCTTTTACCATAGCCAAGGAAATTCAGAACAAAAGCCTTCTGCAACTCTTCTGTGGCTATTTCACACAGGGATTTGGGAGGCGGGGGAGAATTCTTGCTCAGGGATTATGCTGTATTTTTACTATATATGTAGAATTGTTTTGTCTACAGATCAGTTGGGGGTATGTTAATCATCTAATAGAACTCTCTAAAGCTTGCACTGCTAGACATGCCTATTATCTTACAGAAACCATATTACTTTCTGTTATATTGCAATAATGAAATACACTTTGTTCTTCATTTCTTCAGTTGCTGCATTTTGTGGAATCTGACTGCTCCCGTCTAGAAGCATTTTTGAAGTGGAAGCCTATGGAATCCCTTTATTGGCATTGGATGGTATGGCTCAATAATGTGGTTATAGAAAGTTACATAATTTTAAATTTCCCTTTTAAGCCAAGATTTGTTTATAAAAATTCCCCCTACAAAATTGAACAAAATTATCGGTATAGCTACCAGTTAGGTGTTTGTCAAGTGCTTCTTTAATGCTTGTCAATATACTATATTTGAGTTAGAGCTCTTGTTGAAGTTAAAAGAAATTGGTAATTTGCTATCTATACATAATGTTTTGGGGGGTCATAAATTTGATTGCTAAAATGGAAATTTTCTAGGTAATTAGTATTTGATTTGTGTATAAATGGAAGGACCATAGGAGCTCCAGTTGGAATACGGAACTCAGATTTCTGAGTGTTTGCATGTGCTGTAAGGATAGTGTTGTGGCTCCGTTGCCTGAGCCTGGGCTATCGACAGATGCAGACTCTAAGAGTGAGGGGGAGGAGTTGGCAAGGTCTCCCTCTCCAGGACCCTCCTCTCTGGCAATGCCTCCGGAGGACACCGAAGGCCAAACGATAGGCTCAGAGCCAAGCACGTCCCCGTAGCTACAGGTGGACAGCGACGAGGAAAATAAGTGCTGGCTGGACCCTCGCCAGAGGCGCAGGGAGAAGCGTGCGCAGCAGAGGGGAAGGCGTGCCAGAGATTAACTGAGTCACTGGACCACACCCCACAGGCTATAAAAGGGAGTGTGGTGGCCATTCGGACTCTGTGACGGACAAAGCTAATCTCTGGCGAGGCACTTTGCACCTTCGGACACAACACCTATTTGCTGTGGATTTAATTACAAACTGGACTATTCAAACTGTGTGTATTTTTGTCTGTGTTATCGGAGTAAAAGTTTTGGCAGGCAGCCACGGAGTTGCTGCCAAGTTCCTTATCACTGACGTTGAGTGTTTGAAGAGTTTATTTAACCCTCGGCTGGCTGGTTGGGTGTGTGCGTGGTACGGGGATAGAACAGATAGTTCTTATTTGCCTTGTTCTGATCTGCCTTCCTGTTCTATACTTGGTTGTAATTGGTGAGTCATGGAGACCACAGTAAAATTAATCAAATATTTGATTTAAGTTTTAGAGTAAACTAGTCTGAAGACACTAAGACACAGATGTATGTCAAATACTTCCCATAATAGAGTTAGCATTTATTACATACTTTAGGTTTGATTATAGATAGTCCTTGACTTACGACCACAGCTGAGCCCAACATTTATGTTGTTAAGTGAGACATTTGTTAAGTGAGTTTTGCCCTATTTTACAACTTTTCTTGCCCCAATTGTTAAGTTAATCACTGCAGTTGTTAAATTAGTAGCACAGTTGTTAAGTGAATCTGGTTTCCCTTATTGACTTTGCTTGTCAGAAGATCGTAACATGATCCCAAGACACTACAAAGGTCATAAATAGGAATCAGTTGCCAAGTGTCTTTTTTCAGTGATGTTGTAACTTTGAACAGTCACTAAATGAACTGTTGTAAGTCGAGGACTACCTGTACTTGCTCTTGATATCAATTGTGTGACATATAATTATACTGTTTTAAAAGCCTGAAAATCGTGATTAAACTTTAAGCAAATCATAAATCACGGAATGAAATTCTTAACTACATAAATTCTATCCATATGGGTAAAACTCTGTTCTAATTTTGAAATCCTATAAAACTAAATAAAGACTTTTTGCAGGAAGAAACCCAAATTCTGGATGTGATACACCTCCATGTTTTGAACTATAATCTAATAAAATTAATTTTAATATTACTTGTTTGGGACATCTTTGTTCCAGTAATGTTCATTTTCCAGTATTTTCTAGTTGAATCTGTCTATTTAAGAAATCCATATACTGTAATTTATATATATTTGTCCGGTATATCTTCAGGTAGAACTAGGTGTACTTTACATTTTGTAGAGAAAATGAGGCATTGAATTTCTCTTGCAGATTATAGTTATGAAAAATTAATAAAGCTTTGGAACTTTCCTCCTCTCTCACAGGAGACTGTTTTGGATATGGTAATAGAAGATACCCAGAACCAGACTATGTGTTACAAGGGCTGTCTTTTGCCAGGTTCTGATCTGGAATGCCATGGTGTTGGCAGAATTATGGAAGAACTTGACAAATGTAAAAAAGATCTTCTGAGTCTGTGCCAGGAGTTATGTGAGCATATAACCCTCAGGAAACTGGCTTGTTATGGAAAGGTAAGACCTGTTAGAAATCCAGTTGGGATTAAGACTTCCTCTTTTTCGACTTTTAATGTTAATTTGTTTTCAACCTTTTGGGTATAAGGATATTTTGACAGATCAGAGAGAATTGAAACAAAAACAAGAACTAGGGAGTCAAGGGATTGAGATAGATTGGTATACAAGATTGCAAATACAATCAAGATTTGAAGCAGATCGTAGACAATATGGTTTTAACTTGGGGAAATCAGAACTGGATGAAATACTGACAGGAACAGATTAAAAAATGATTAAGAAATTATATCATTCGTGGTTATGGGGTGAAGTACTATCAATATGCTGATGATACTCAGCTTTATATCTCCACCCCGGACCACCCTGGAGATGCCTTTTCCGTGATCTCCCACTGCTTGGAAGCGGTGCGGGCCTGGATGGGAAGAAACAGACTCAGACTCAAGCCATCCAAGACTGAGTGGCTGTGGATGCCGGCATCTCGTGAGCTAGTGGTCCCGTCACTTGTGATAGGAGGGGAGCTACTCACTCCCTCAGAAAGGGTTCACAATCTGGGTGTCGTCCTGGATTCACGGCTATCTTTAGAAGATCATCTGACGGCTGTGACCAGGGGGGCCTTCGCACAAGTACGCCTGGTGCACCAGTTGCGCCCTTTCCTAGACCGGGATGCCCTCGCCATGGTCACTCACGCCCTTGTTACTTCTCGGTTGGACTACTGTAACACCCTCTACATGGGGCTGCTCTTGGGATGCACCCGGAGGCTACAGCTAGTCCAGAATGCGGACGTGCGGGTTGTTATGGGGGCTTCTCGTTACTCCCGTGTGACACCTCTCCTGCATGAGCTTCACTGACTGCCGGTGGTCCTCCGGGTCCGTTTCAAGGTGCTGGTGCTCACCTATAAAGCCCTACATGGCTTAGGCCCGGGGTACTTGCAGGATCATCTCCTGCCATCCTCCCATCGTCCCGTGTGCTCCCACAGAAGGGGCCTCCTCAGGGTGCCGTCAGCCAGACAATGTCGGCTGGCGGCCCCCAGGGGGAGAGCGTTCTCTGTGGGAGCGCCAACCCTCTGGAATGGTTTGCCCACCGGGCTTAGGACAGCCCCCGACCTCCTCTCCTTCCGCCGCGAACTGAAGACGTGGCTCTTTTATCAAATGGGCTGATCCGTTGGGGGATTTTTACATTGAAATAATTTTAATTGGATTTTAATTTTTATGTAATTTTCAAATTGTTGAATGTTTTCTTTGTATGCCGCCCTGAGTCCTTTGGGAGAAGGGCAGCATATAAATTACATAAATAAATAAATAAATAAAATAAATATAATTATCGTGGGTCAGACTAGAAGATGAAGAAGTAAAAGAAACAATGATAACATGGGCAAAGAATTTTGGATATATTATAGAAATGGAGAAATGGCAACAACTATGGGAAAGAAACTATAAATTAACAATGGCAACAGCTTATAAAGAAAATTTGTATAAGATGTTTTATAGATGGCATATGCCACCAGAAAGATTAGCTAAGATGTCTAAAGATAAATGAGCTAAGTGTTGGAAATGTCACCAATTGCCAGGATCATATTATCACATGTGGTGTTCGTGCAAAGAAGCAAAACATTACTGATTGAAAATACAAACATTGCTAGAGGGAATGTTGCAGCAACATATAGAGTTAAAACCAGAGATATTCTTATTGGGAATTTTACCAGAGAATTATAGTAAAGAAAATACATATATGATTATTCATATAATAACAGCGACTAGAATTGTATTTGCACAAAATTGGAAAGCAGACAAAATCCCATTGGAAGGAGAAATTATAAAGAAAATTCTAGAATGTGCAGAAATGAACAGATTAATATTGAGAATAAAAGATAAAGAGGAGTCGATGTATTTCAGGACATGGGATAAATTTTATGATTGGTTTGAAAGGAAATATGAATAAGGGTATGGAGATAAAATAGATAGAGAAAAGATGGGAGAAAATAATCAGAAGAATAGAAACTCAGATGATACCTAGGTAAAGGGAGAAAGGGATGGAGGGTGGGGGGTAAAAGAGAAAAAGTGGGATTATTATAAAAATGTACACAAATGATGAAATAGATATAATTATTAATTAAATAAGAAATTGAAATGAGAATAGAGATAAATAGAAAATTGGGGCTGCTCAAACACCATTCCAGATTGAACTGAAAAGAGAAACAACAAGAGAGAGGGGAAGGAGTAGAAAGAGAGGAAGGGAGAAGAGAGAGAGAGAAGAAAGGGGAAAGGAGAGGAAGAAAAGGGAGGGGAAAGAGGAATGGGAGAGAAGGTTAGAAGGGGGGAAGAAGGGAGGAGTGGGGGAAGGGACGGGGAAGTAGGAAAGAGAAGGAGAGGAAGAACGAAGAAGGTAGGAAGAGATAGAGGAAGGAAGAGAAGGGGAGGAGAAGAAGAAAAGTTGTGGTAAAATAAAGGGTAAATGGTAAAAGAGCAGCCCCGAACAATTAAAAATTAAAAATGAAAGTTAAAAGATAAGATGAATGGAAAATGGTGGCTAAATGACTGTACATTTAAATATGTTTATGAGAAAAATAAAAAAAAAATGGAAAAAAAAGGAAACTAATCAAAGAGAGAAGCAGCCTGGAATTAAGGAGAAACTTCCTGACAGTGAAGACAATTAACCAGTGGGCCAGCTTTCCTTCAGAAATCGTGGACGTTCCATCACTGGAGGTTTTTAAGAAGAGACTAGACAGTCACTTATCTGAAATAGTATAGGTTCTCCTGCTGGACTAGAAAACCTCCAAGGTCCCTTTCAGCTTCTGTTCTGTTCTGTTCTACTCTAATCCTAATCCTAATCCTAATCTATTCTTCTACTGGAAGACTAGTATCACATCACTCCAATCCTTCTCCTCACTAGTTTAGACATACATAAGTTCTCTTAACCATTCATCATATGGTTTAGCCTCCAGAACTCTTTGTTGCTCTTCCATGCTCTCTTTTTAGGAGCATCATTTTTGTATTGTGGCAACCAAAACCGGATGCAGTAACTTGGAATACTTGGACGTATAGAGGAACACTATACTTTTGATACTATCCTTCTGTTGCTTTTGATGTTAGTCTTCTGTTGATGCATCCTAGGACTGAATTGTTTTGGGGTTGTTGTTGTTGTTTAATATTTTTTTATTTTTAAAACAAAAACATAAAACACATCTTTTCAAAACAAAGCTTTTGCTCCGGTCACATATTAAAGCAAATCATTAACAAATCTTATTTTCCAATTAACACAACTAAATATTTTAAACAAGTATTCCCTCCAATCTATCTATGTAACTATGCCATTATCCCCAAAAACCCGTTACTTAAATCTTAAATCCTAACCAATTATCAATCCATTTTTCTCTTTCATTTGCTTAGATGGACATTTTTTAACCATATAAATCATACAATTATATTAAACATTCCAAAAATATTTAATTTCAACATATCCATTTTATTACTAACTATTAAACTCGAAATTTATACTCTTTATTTCTATTATTAAACCTAACTTATTCATTTTATCTTAACTATCACTCTCAACATACGCCTCCTCAGTTAAATTATCCCACCTCATTTTATATTTTCCTAAAAAAACAAAAACAAAAAAAACCAGCGTTATTGTCTTTATCTTTATTGTTAAACCAATCATTTTTATTTCTTGGCTGTTAAACACAGCATAACCATTTGTTTTGGCTGTTGAACACAGCATATCCTTTTTTATTTTTTGGCTGTTACACAGCATATTCCATTTTTTGGCTGTTAAACACAGCATATTCATTTTTGGTTTTTTGGCCGTTACACGGCATATTCAGTTTTGTTTTGACTGTTACACAGCATAAACATTTTATTTGGCTGTTCAACACAGTATATTATAAGTTTTTGGCTGTTAAACACAGCATATTCATAGTTGGTTTAACTATCAGTCTCTACTTAAACCTTTCTTTGTTGTTTCCATCCATCTATGCATTGCTTTTTCACATAATCTTATTTTTCTATATCCTTTTTCATGACATTCATGACATTTTAACATTGAGACATGATTCTTGCTTAAAACACATCTTAACTGTATTTATAAATTTCTTTTAACATTTTCAATTAATCATATTTATCCTTATTCTTTTCCTTAACATTTTAACATTAAAATATAGTTCTTGCATCAAGCATATCTTTACATGTATTAATTTCTTTTTAACATTCTTAATTTCTATAAAAACCTCCCTTTTATTGTTACAATCCATCTTTATGTTATTTTTAATCACATTATCTTCATTTCCTCGCCTGTAAACATATATTTCCTTCCATTTTCCAAGTTTTTAATTTTGTTCTCCATAAATCATGTTAAGGATATTGTTGTGTTAACCAACCAGCAGAGCGTAGAGCACAGGGAAACGGTGCTGAGAGCGATGAATAAAATACATACAAACTGGTTTATCAAAGTTTTTACTTTGTAGTGAAAAACAATCTCATAGTCTTTAATCAATCCAAGTCTTAGCCAGTCAAATCAGTCCAATGATACAAAAGTTTTCTTACCATACAAAACAGCAGTAGGTAATAAATAGCAGCACATTCACGCTGGTGACAGATCACGATGATAGCAGCTCCACACACGATGGTAGCATATCATCAATATGCTACATTTCAGCTCCCTTCTTAAATACAGTTACAACAGAGCTTATCCAATCAGGATATAATGACTCAGCATTACTATGACTCAGCATTACAATGACTCAGCAGTACTTATTAAAGTCATATAATACATATTCATGTTAAAGTCATAGAACACATATATTGTCCATATATTGCCTGGACAACCTGTTAGGCATACACCATATCCTAACATTCTCCCCTTTGAACAGGCCAACATGTACCAGTTCATATTCTCAAGCCATAGCTTTCGCAACATATTTTATGTTTGATTGCACCCTGCACTTTGGTGAAATTATTGGCAATATTATTTTCCGACATACAGTATTCCAGCTGAACCATATCGCT